GAAAATAAATAGCAAAAGAGTGTTTTATGTCCTGCATCTGAGTGTGCAGAGGAAATGTAAACAAGAAGCACACTGTTCAGGGTGTGCGCTGTAGGTGTAAGAAGAAGAGAAGATTATATTACTTTAAGAATACATTCTTAAATTGTATTGCTGGTATGTTAAGATATGTTTGTGACCTTTTATAAACCCTATGCCCCGTCCTGCACCCTGAGACCCTAAGAGGCATCACTGCTGGTCATAAAAAAAACCTGCAAAATCTGTCTGCTGTTTTAGGTCAATGTTGTATTATTTGTTTCATTTATTCTCAAATCTATGTATTGTATGGTAATAAGGAAAAAAACGTAATGTATTGAACACATTCCGAAACAAAGCTGATAAGACAGAACTAGACTCAGACATAATACAAATTATTGTTGAAACCTTTTGCGCTGTTGCTGCAAAATGGAAACTTTGTTGATTATCTGTTCCAACTGGCCACTGGATTCAGATAATTAATATAAGTTGAAGTTTAATTACAGTTTTAAATATAGTTTAACATTCTTTATTAAACTGCTTCAAATGATTTCTCGTATCAACCAATTGGTCTCCAGAGACATTACTAAAATTATAATAGTTGTTAAACTACTGACAAGTTTTCTGAAACCGAGCTTATGAACAAAAGAGTAAAGGTCGCTGGTTAAGCCAGGATCAATATATCAATATATATATATATCAATTTGTTGACGTTTTCATTACAGTGTGCATAATAAATGTGTTAAATGAATTGAGCAATTATTTAAAAAGTATAATGTTGCAATCTCTTTACAATAAGTAATTACAGTTAACAAAGAAGTAGAGGTTGTTTTCCAAGGGCCTCTCCTTCACAGGCCTACACTTTAAATCATGAGACTTTCAAATCATAACAGACAGAGATCGGTATCACTTTGTGTTGCAAGCCAAATCCATGTAAAGGTTCTACTTGAGCCCAATTTAAATACCATAAAGAAAGTATTGAACCCAGCTCAAGCTAAATGTCAAATGTATTTAATTAATGTACAAGTGTTTTGATTTATTTAAAATGTTCCAGTCTAGCTTCTTTCGAGTTCAGTCTAAGCAACAAATTGTTTCTCATAACATTCTCACTGCTGTCCCAAATGTTTTAACCTTGGGCAGACAAGCTGTTCACACACACACACACACACACACACACACCCACACACACACACACACACACACACACACACACACACACACACACACACACACACACCCACACACACCCACACACTTTGGATAAGTAGTCACCTTATCCACATTGTAAATTGTTGCCTTCTTTAAAGTTATTAGTAATTTAAGATTAATTATTAAATTAAATGTGGTACATAAGATAAAATAAATAAAATAACTTTGACTTGATCATTTTGTTCACAACATTAGACCTGTCCTCTAATCTCTACTAGAATAAGATAAGTGTGCATGTTTGGATGTTTTATCACTCCTGTAATGTACCTAATCTTGATATCCTTTTCATTACAGAGCTGGGAAAATGGTGTATTGATTAGATTCTGATCCGTGCACGTCCAATTTTGACTGACTTTAGTTCTAATGTTAATGTTAATTTGACTTCAACCCATAAGTAATTATTTAAATTAACTCTAAATTTCACATGATGATGGATTAGTATTCCACATTTCTTCCACTAATTTGTTTTACAATAGGCCAAAGGTAAAGAGAGACATTGATGACCTTGTGTCCCTTTTGTTAGTACGTGGTTCCATTTTGTCTATGGCCTTGGACGGCTTCACTAAAAGTCACCCAGTTCTGCCCTGCTGCAGTCCGGCTGAGTGCAGTCACAGAGATGCTATGGCTGCTCTACATGACATTAATGGTCTGGTCCGAGAATGGACACCATTTCCTGCTCCCAGAGAGAATGGCACTCCTCAAACTGAACATTACAGCTGTTGATACTGTCTCACATGGGTCTGCTCCCCCCCACTGAGCCATGAACTGAAAGCATGACATCTGCTTTGAACACTTGGAAGCCTCCCTGTCACACCAGCACCAACCCTTGGGTCAGTCAGATGAGACTAACGGCTTCACTTAGGGCATTTGGTTCAGATACATGACTCTCGTTACCGCAGAATGGGTGGTTTTTAAGGCTATTCATACTGCTATGCAGAGGATGCCTGTAAGTTGGCGAGCTGGTAAAAGCCCCTACTATTGTTTCATATAGGCCTAATGTCAGGGGCCGCTTAATGTCTAGTTCTATCTATTTATACGTTTCTGTTTTCAAAATACCAAACAGATCATGCATTTTAGCCATGCCTCATTTCGCTCTATGTGCTGTTCTCCAGCTCTGTGTTCGCACGGGGCTGATTCTGTGAGCTGCAGCTGACCACGCCCCCCTGCAGGAGAGGGGAGCCATGCTCTGAAGAAGTCAGCAGAGGGGGAGAAAAATAGATCTCCGTCCTCCGTGTTTTATTATATTATTATAGGCCTATAGAGTCGTTATTCATTTGTTTTAAAACTCAATAAATAACAAAGAAGACCTTTGACCGGCACTTTTCAAATTTTGTCGGGAAGATTTCAACTTTAACGGACATCTTGACCGGCGAAAGAAACTGAAACTGAAACTCTGCCGCACGGTCCCCTCGTTCCTTGGAAGAGGCGGAGAGGTGGGTGTTTGTCATCTGCTGGTGGACTAACCGGAGATAATTACAGTGCTTGCCTCGACGGGGAGGGATTGCATTGAATTACAGCAGCGGGAGCAAACGCTTGCCTCGGGGAGGGAGAAAAAAAAAAAAATCCACAGCGGAGAATAAACAGAAGGGTAACCATAGTAACCATGCGCGGGAAGTCTTCTTCGCTGCTTTTGTGGCAGACTACAGCGCCACTTACAGGCCTGGCATATGTACTACAGCGTCTCCAGTGCTTTCGAGCGGCAATGGCCGGCCGTGGCCCAACCCCACATTCCCCTGATAGGTGGAGAGTTGGCACAATAGCCGTAGCGCCACCGTCCTGACGTCAGGACAGTGTTCAAATCTGGATCAGTTTTTATCAGATCCGGTGCAGCCCCTTTTTTAGAGATTTGGGTATGGAGGAAAATAGAGAGGGTTGTGTTTTCTGACACTTGGTGAGTTCCCTGGAACACCGGGGACACATATTCATGCATAAAAGACGTACAAAAGTGCATTTTGCATGATAGCTCCCCTTTAAAATACCAAACAGTTCACCCATTGTAGCCATGCCTCATACTGCTCATACCCCTTTTTTGCAGCCTTGTTAGAGAAACGCGGATTTTGGGTCCTTAGCTTGAAAAAAAAAAAAAGAGGATGCGGAGCTAATGCCTGATCAGAATTCTACTGGAGATAAAGTTAAATTCTGCTGTGATAAAACGCCATCCTGTTCTAAACCACATCAAAGATTATTTTCACAATGGTGAAATCACAAGGCGAGTTCCTTTTTTTATTTCCTGCTTTTTAAACACATGTGCTCTTCAGTACAGGTTAGCTCTGAGTGTTAGCGAGGCTTGCTAATGTAAACAAAGATGAGATTATGTCCAAAACACGTCAGGCATTGTTTCTGATAGCAATTTTCTGTGGGTCCGCTGCCGATTTGACGTCAGATCGGCAGCAAATCTGTATCCGCTCGTTGTACCCCTGTTTTTAAAAGATTTGGTTACGGAGGAAAAGAGAGAGGGTTTTATTTTCTGACGCTGCGTGAATTCCCGACACACCGGAGACACATGTTGATGTATAAAATACATCACAAAGTGCATTTGCATGATAGGTCCTCTTTAATATATTCATTGCTATCGGGATGTTAAGAGCATTCCATGGAATATAACAAAAAGTGTTTCTGAAATAAATTAGCTATAAGTACGGTTGAAACATTAAGCTAGAAGTTGGCTTTAAGTATGGTTGAATACAGTTAGCTTATAGTTTGCTATAAGTACGGTCGAAACAGTTAGTTAATAGTTAGCTATGAGTACGGTTGAAACAGTTAGTTAGCAGTTAGCTAAAAGTATTGTATAAACTGTATGAATAGTTAGATAAAAAAATTGGACAAACGGTTTAAATGATTATCTGAAATTATTAGATTAATGGTTGAAATAATTGTCTAAAATAACTCATAAATAGTTAAAATAGTTAGCTAAAAGTAATACATTAATGCTAATAGATAAATAAAAGCAGTTAGCTAATACTTAGCTTTAAATATGGGATAGACAGTTGAAATACTGCTAATATTTGGCTAAAATTAATTGATAAACAGTTAAAAGATGTTGCAAATTGAGTGTATTTAAATAACTGAGGTTGACTGAGTTATGCATTATAACTTTACAACTCTCAAGCAGGAACAAACATGGTCTTTACTGTTTTAATTTATATAAGCTTGATATGTCCAGCAGGTGTCCCTCCTTTCCCACTAATCTTGGGTTATGCTTCTCATTCTGTTAGATGGAGCAAAAATCATTCCTGAATGATGTATTTAGCACATTTTGTGAGATTTTTTTCAGTAATACTTTAATAGTTTTTATTAAACTAGAATTTGTATTGCTTTATTAAAGTGATCCAGACACACTCTGTAAGCTTGAACCAGGTTAACTACTGTTTACACACATCTAACATTATTATGGGGAGCTAACTGTCTGAGACCAGTATAAGCATCACTACTCTGTTCACCCAACTGGCCCCAGACCTGTTTTTAGTGAAATTATGTGTGAGATTGTTTTTACTTTATCAGCTTTATCTTTCAGCCACTAACACAGTATTTTACCGTCTATAACTTGCAGAGTTCTTCTTAAATATTGCACATTATCTCTGCAGGCAGGGCTGGACGTATTATAAGCTGCAGAGAGAATTAAACCCAACTCTCTCCCACCCGGCTTCTCATTCTCTGTTACCGCTCCCTGTTTTACTTTGCCCTCTATATGCAAACATACTGTAATATGAAGATCCGCCCACCATATGACTCACTGAGACAAACCAGGAAACAGTTTGTTATTCTGTTTACTGAGACGA